GCATCAAAGCCCTGTTAACCTCCAGGTCTGACCACAGCTTGAGGAGGAATCTAACCTCCTCATCTCCATTTTATAGATGAGAAAACTGAGGTACAGGCTAGCAAGCTGTCAAAACTCATGCTGCTTGGAATTGACAGGCCTGGGTTTCAAATCATGACAGTTTGACAGAAGGGCCGGGCTCCTCGCCCCTGCACCCATTGCCTCCCATTGAGAGAGGCCCAGGCCTCGGTCCTGGACCCTCTGTGTTCCCTGCAACCCTTTCTAGATAGTGCCAAGTTCCTAAATTTCATAGATCTAGATGTGAAAGGTAAAATAGAGAAGCTGCTAGAAGAAATAAAAGAGCACATCATCGTGACATTGGGGGCAGCAAATATTTCCTAAATAGGATTCTAAAATAACGAACCTTAAAAGAAAAGATAAACTGGATTGAATTAAAATTGAGAACTTTTTTTGCTAAAAAAAAATAAATAAATCGAGAACTTCTGCTCATCTAAAGACACCATTAAAAGAGTTAGAAAGCCGGCCACAGAGTGGTAGAGACATACACAGTCTGCACAGCTGACAAAAGGTTCATATCCAGCATAGAGAAAGAGCTTCTATGATTCAACCCACTTTCCCACAGACTTCCTTGTAAACGTCATATAGGCCTGGATTTGGATCCTGGCTTTTCCACCTGTTTAGTGAGATCTTGGACAAGTCTCTCCGAGTTTCTGACACCCTAAATTAATTCTCATATTTCTAAATTGGGGATCAAATCCATGCCGGTATCCCACATTGTTGTGTTTCCTATGGGAATCAAAAAAGAGAGAATGTTCCAAAAGTGGATCATGTATCAGATGGGGGGTTATGTGTATATATATCAAGACCACCGCCAACCCCTATCCCTCCTCTCAGATTGAAGCTCCCCAAGGACTTGGGCCAGGTGTTAGGCTGATCTCTGACACTGTGCACAGGACGTGGTACATTGCTCAGAGTATATGGGAGCACATATTTAATACATGAATGGGCAGGGAACAGCATTTCTGGATGAGGGAACAGCATGAGGGTGGAAATGTACAGTCAAGTACATAGGGGGTCAAGTTAGGGTATAATCACAGGAAAAGTGAGAACATGCTGGGCCTGGATGGGGATGGATCTTAAATACAGGCATTGTCTGGAGGGCCCTAGGCAGCCATTACAGTTTTGGGGACAAGGGCTGTGTACAGGAAGGGGGAGAGAGAAAGGGAGAGAGACAGAGAGCTTTAGAGATTGGAGGTCAGGGGTGGTAAAAGATTTCTTTCTAAGCAGCAGCCATTTCAGAACTTCTGCTTCAAAAGAAGGAAGCCAATGAGTGAGAAGAAACAGAAAAAGAGTGCGTTCAGTGGGAGGGGTGGCCAGTGGCCGGAGGTGAATGAGGGGAGCAGAGCAGGAGAGGATCTGGCCTCACCACCCCTTCCTCTCCTGCCAGAAAGGGACCACCAGATAGAGTGCTTCTCCAATGGGGTCCCCAGACCAGCAGCCCCAGTGTCACCCTCATCGGGGAGGTTGCCAGAGATACCAAGTCTCAGACCCCACCCCAGACCCACAGAAAAAGAATCTCCTGGGGGTGGGCCCAGCGCTCTGTTCTAACAAGCCCTCCAGGGAGTTCCGAGTGCTGCAGTGTAAGAATCATGATGAGGCCACCGCAGAGAAGAAAGTCTTCGCTGGTCTTCCCTTTCAGAGACACTGGTGAGAGATGAGAGATGACTGAGCCAGCCTCCCCAAGCAAAGGGGATTCACCTGGAGATGAGAATTTGAAACTGCTCTTGGGTGCAGCTCAACCCGACTCCATCTTTGCACAAACACTGGCTCTTGTGGGGCGCCCAGAATCCAACCCACAGACTCATCCCCTGAAAAATGTCTCACTCCACCTGGCCTCCTGCTGTGAATTTACTTGGTGCACCCCGTCTTATCCCAGGACTCAAGCGTTATCAGAACTGGCAGCCCCGCAAGTGGCTGTGCGGCGGGTGCTGGCTGAGGCCACGCCCAGTAATTGATGAGCCATTCAGGGCCCTGCACCTGACCCAGGTTCTGACCCAGGGCTTGATTATCAATTAGTGTAAAGTAGCAGCACTGCAGGGGAAGGGGCAGTACCTGGGTGTGGGAGGGGCGAACCGGGGCTGGAGGAAGGTCTTCCCAGCGCACTAGCTGGGCGCAGTTCTGACCTCCCATCTCCAGGGTCTGACCTGCCTTCAGAGGTGAGTTGCATGCTGCGGGGGACTGGTGAGTGCTCGTCTTGCTGGCAGGGTGGACCCCAGCCCTAGCATTTTGTGTTGAAGCTTGAGAAAGAAGGGTTGCCTGTATTCTCAGCTCTGAGGGTAGAGTGGAGAGGGGAATCGGTGATACTGACTCTTCCTTGTACACTTTCTAGAAAGCCTTGTCTTATTCTTAGGATGAAGTCCCCCTCACCCATGGAATCCTGGTTAAATGGCCTTCCTGTCTTTAAGGTTTACCCACACGTGAGCCTGGGCTGCTGCCCATCTCTCTTTGCCCATCCTCTTCACCCTGGGCTGGGAATGTGTGTCCTCCGTGCTTTCACCCTCCCCGGGGCCGAGGCAGCCCCGGGGTCCCAGTTCAAGGAGACTGCTGCGTGTCTGGGCCAATTTGCTAAATTATTTAAACAAGTAACTAAGAATCATGAGGACCCCAAATTGTCAGTTGGGGGAAGATGACAAAGGACTTGGTTGAAGAAAAAGGCTCATGGCCCAACAATTTTAATTTAGGTTTAAATAGCCTCAGATATGCAAAAACTATCCCAAGTTCTGCAGTGACAAATCTTCCTCCCATTCCTCTTTCCTACTTGCCCATTTCTATTCCCAAGGGCAATGCCCTTCTTAATTTCTTATGTGCATACAAACATATGCAAAGATCGGTTCTAATTTCCATCTTTTTACAGCAAATCTGTGCATTATGTGCATTGAATCCACCCCTCCCCCATTAACTGACCTTGGGATTTTCCATGTCCAGATGTAAGTGTCCTTGTTATTTTTAACAGTTGTGTCATATTCCACTTCATGCATATACTGTGACTTATCTCACCAGGCCCTTCTTGTGGACTTTGGGTTTGTCATCTACTGTCGTAAGCGATGCTGTGATGCTTCCGTTTAGACATGGATTTTTATCTGAGGGCACCTTTAGGATAAATTCCTGCAAGTGGAAGTGCTGGGTCAGAGGGTAGCTGCATTGTCACTGTGGTGGATATTGCCTTCCTCCCTCTGATGGGGAAGTAGAAAGCAGACTGCTGAGAACCAGACAGGGCAGAATCTGAACCTCTTCTCCGTGCTTTCTAGCTATTTGCTCACCTGCTCAGAGCTTCAGTGTTTAAAACCTGTAAAATGTGGCCCACACAGTTGTGTGGATGAAATGGGACCAACTATGTAAAGTATTTGGTTCAGGGCCAAAGACACAGTGAGACCTCCAAGTGTCAAGAGGAGTGGAGTCTGGCCATATAGCTGCCCTCACATCTTGCCAAGGGCAGGCAGCCTGGGTACCCCCGGGTGTCTGAGAGCCAAGGATTGAGCCTGGTCTTCAAGGCATTGGTTCCAGTTGGAGGATCCTCTCCCCAGCCTTGCACATCGTCTTCTCCCTGGAGCTGCTAATACGTCCTGAGAATGGAGCACTGGGTCTCCTCAGGGCCTTCTGGGGATAGCTGTTGGGCAGCCTGAAGGAAGGCATTTGGTCTGCCTTAAATCCTCAAAGCTCTGGCCCCTGGCACAGCCTCCAAGTAAACGCACTCTCTGCCATGTATTGAGTGTTTGCCACTGGCCTGATATAATTATGAGTATTCTACACGCATGACTCCATTCAGTTCTCAGAATTATCCCCTAGGATGGGAAAGATCAAGTCACCACCAGCCAGACTCTTCATCATTCTGCAGCCTCGCCCCATCCAAAGGGAACGTCTTGTTTGCAGGACCGCTGAGTTCTTCCATGCGTTCACCTCTGGGGGGTACGTGGGGCAGGGTGGCAAGAGACACTGCGATGTGTGTGCAGTTTCCTGTTGCCCTCCTGTTTCTTTTTCTTTTTCTTTCTTAATAGCCATTCTAGGGGCTTCCCTGGTGGCACAGTGGTTAAGAATCCGCCTGCCAAGGCAGGGGACACGGGCTCGAGCTCTGGTCTGGGAAGATCCCACATGCCATGGAGCTACTAAGCCCGCATGCCACAACTACTGAAGCCCACGTGCCTAGAGCTGTGCTCTGCAACAAGAGAAGCCGCTGCAGTGAGAAGCCCGTGCATCACAACGAAGAGTAGCCCCTGCTCACAACTAGAGAAAGCCCACGTGCAGCAACGAAGACCCAACGCAGCCGAAAATAAATAAATAAATTTATTTTTTTTAAAGTTAGCCGTTCTTCTTTTATTTTTTAATATTTATTTATTTGGTTGCATGGGGTCTTAGTTGCAGCAGGCAGTTGTGGCATGTGGTCTCCTTAGTTGTGGTATGTGAACTCTTAGTTGTGGCATGCATGTGGGATCTAGTTCCCTGACCAGGGATCGAACCCGGGCCCCCTGCATTGGGAGCTTGGAGTCTTAGCCACTACACCACCAGGGAAGTCCCACCTCTTGTTTATTTTACCCGTGGCGGGGGTTGGGGGTGAGCCCTCATTTGAAAAGTATACGGTCAGATTAAAGGGTGAATTTGATTTTAGAGGATGGGAAATGCAGTCTGTGTGTCTAGAAGGAAAAACATAACTTACCTGGTACTAACATCTCAAAACGTGCGTGTGAAATTTTACCCTCAACACCATTGCTGCCAACATGTAGTATCACAAGTTAGTTGGTGACCAATCTTTTGAATCCTCTCCCCCAGAGGAGTGTTCTCTGAGCCTTCTCAGTAGACCTGGAACATTGTGTCTGCGTGTCAGCATCTTTTCTCTCTCTTGCTACAGGGCATCGGGACGAATTGGAAACCCAGGATCTGGGTGACGGGCTCATTCCTCTAAGCCCTCGAACCTGGTAGCTCAGGTACTTCATCGATCAAAGACCATGAGTGAAGAGAAGGAAGAGGCCTCGTTCAGTATACTCACAATTTATGATGAACCAGAGAAGAGGAGGAATGTGCCCGAGAGCCCCGGCATTTCCTCCCAGCACGAGCACCATGCACAGTCCCAGCTGGGCGAAGCGTGTGGTCCCCCCGAGCAGCTCCCACGCTACCCGAGGCAGCATGACCTGGCTTATCAGGAGATGAGCTGTGTGAGTCCACAGCAGTGGGCCCCGCAGGCCCTGGACAGATCTGAGCTGCAGGCCACTCAGCTCTCCGAGGCAGAATCAGAAGAAGCAGAGCCTGGCCTCAGGTAGGTCTCACCTGAACAAGACTGGTGGGGGGAGCGAACTGTCTCGGGGAGAGGGATCCTGACACAGAGCTCTCCATCCATCTCATGCCCTGACTCCTCCCTCTCTCCTCTGTGTGTCACAGCTCCCCACCAGGATCCGAGGTCGGTAAGTCCCAGCTGGGACGGTGTGGGCAGGCAGGGTGTAGCCCATGGCTGGGCATTGGATGGGAGACCTGGAACGAGCTCCTGGGTGGAGAGAGCAGTCTTCTCCCTGGATCCCGTGACGCTGTTGCTGCCAGACGTCCTCTCTCTGAGTGGTTGGCCGCTGGTGTCTCCTGCAGGTCAGCCTTGTCCTTCACCTCGTCCCAGTGAAGAAGTCTTGTCATTCCTCAGAGCAATTGTAAGTGTCTTTTTTTTTTTTTTAAACATGGCATCTTTCCCTTCCTGTTACCCCTGTAACAAGAAGCTCGTAGGAAGAAGGTGAGGGCATGCGGTGTGTCCACATCCTCACTCTCTCTCCCATAGGTGGTGGGTGCACTGGACTTCCTGCTTCTTTGGACCCAAGCTACCCTCCTCCCATCACCAGTGTGTAGGGCCTCAGCTGACAGGGTCACTTTTAGAGCTACATCCTAGGAGACTCTGAGCCAGGCTCTGCTCTCATTGCTTATACTCAGAAGTGTCTCAAAATGTGGCCTGTTTATGAGGGAGGCCATCCTGGGCTAGTGCAGAAGGATGTCAGTGGTCTGGGGACCCCAGCTGAGGACACAGTCCTGCCTGAGGGTCAGAGAGGAGCTGTTGGATGCAGGGTCAGGAATCGAGTCAGAGGACAGGGAAGGCTGTCCCCCATGGATGAGGGCAGGTCAAGGCTGTGACCCTTTCATGGGCACCCCAGCCTCCCGTTCCAGATGAAGTGGTGGTCAGGCAGATGACCCCACATAAGTCCTGGAAGGTTGGCAAACTCCGCCATGGAAAGAAAGTCCACTCCCTGGCCATCAGCAGCTCTACTCACCACGTGTACACGTGCGGCCATGGCTACATCAGGGTGTGGGATGAGAGTGCCCTGCATGCCTGGGACCACGCCCCCCAGGCCCAGCTGAACTTACAGGTGAGGGGTCATGCAGAAGGCTCAGGGAGCCTAGATGTGACCTGTGTCCTAATACTTGGAGCCCATGCTTCCAGGAGGTGATTTGAGAATGTCACCCATTCCTACAGGACCGTCAGAACTGTGTCCTCACCTGCAAGCTGTCCCCCGATGAGCAAAGCCTGATCACGGGGGGTCTGTCCCAGACCCTGACTCTCTGGGACCTGGCGCCCACCCCTCGCATCAGGGCACAGCTGGCCTCCACAGGCCCCATGTGCTATTCCCTGGCTGTCTCCTCCAACGCCCAGATCTGCTTGGCTTGTTTCAAAGGATTTGTTGAGATTTGGGATTTGCAGAACCAAATCTTGATCAGGTATGACCTGGGGGAGGGCTGGGTGGTGAGGCCTTGGGGAAGCCTGGGCCTCTTTTCCGACCTCACTCTCTCCTCTGCAGTAGGACTAGGTGAGTCGGTGTGGAGAACGCATTTGGGCTACGTATCTAGGGGCTTCCTGGGCCCGAAACTTCTGAGGGTCCAAGCAGTGCATGAACCTCTGAGTTGTTTTCCCACCAGGAAGCACGAAGTCCCCATGTACGGGTCCCGATGTGTGGACATCACGGGCAATAAATTCTGGACGGGAGGTGAAGACACCAGACTGTATTCCTGGGACCTGAGGAACTACCAGAGGCTCCAGCAACATGATTTACAGCATGAGGTGCCCGGACGGCTGCGGCTGTGCTGAGTGCAGTCCCCCTGGGGACTGGGAGTCAGTGCCCGCAGGAGCAGAGTCCGAGTTTGAAGAGGTGGCCACGAATGATGGCGCTGGCAGCTTTGTGCGCTGACCCCAAACCTCCTTCCAAACAGATCCTCAGCATTGCCCACGACCCCAGTGAGGAGTGGCTGTTAGTGGGCCTGAGAATGAGTGACATCGTAATCCTGCACACACACCGGAGGGAGAAGTTTAAGGCTGTCCTGCAGAAATATGTCTACCACCACAATCTCAAGTTTTCCTCCTGTGGTGAGTGAGCAGGCAGGGGACACCTCTGGGTGCCCTGTCACCTGACAAGGCATCTACTCACCTGTAGAGTCTGGGCCCAGCCTTATTTCAGGCTCTTAATTCCCCCCTCTCCAGCCCCAGCACTGGCCGGGCCAAGGTCCAGGGCCACCATCCCACTGCCCTCGCCTCTGCTTCCTCCTGTCACCAGTGTTTCTCCCCTGCCAGCCTGGCTACCTTTCCTCCCTTCTTTTGCTGCTCACCCCCTCTCCTTTTCTGGCTCTGTCTGTAATGGTAGCTTCCTATGTGGAACCACAGCCCAAAGGCATCGGCAGACAGAAGATGCTCGAAGCCCCATGTGGCTGTCCAGTTGTTCATTGCCCCTTACCACAATCCCGGGAGTGGCAGGAGGAAGCGGGCAGATGAGGGAATGGTTTGGGTCATGTCTCTGAGTTGTATAGATGGGGAAACTGAGGCAGAGAAGGAGTGATCCTTTCCCTGGTCTAGTCGGGAGCAGAGAGCTGGGACTGGAAGGCAGGCTTGGCCTCTGGCCCCTCCATCTGTCTTTCCTTCGCCAGGGAGCTATTTTGTGTCCACACTGGATGAGTCGATCCGCTGCATAGCTGCACCTTCTCTACAAAGATTGTTTCAGGTACTGGATGGAGGCGTGTGCAAACCCAGGCAGCTGGAGCTTCCAGCCCCAGCTCCCAGTTGGTCGGGCCCCAGAAATAGTGCTGGAAAGTACCTCTGAGATGGCAAACAGGGCCATTGAGTACATCGAGGGAACAAGGACTCAAGGTCCTAGGAACTCCTGGGCTCCACCTTGAGCCCTGAACCTGGCCCGGTCTCCAGACTGGGCCTCAGGTCTACACGGAGCCCTGAAACAGACCTGCGTGAAGTGTGCATCTCCGGCCCCAGTCTGGCCCCTGCATATCATTCCTCTGTGGCCTCTCTTTCCCTCCAGGTAGAGGAGTCTACAGACATCCTATGTTGTGATGTGTCTTCCGACAACCAGTACCTGGTCACGGGCTCCAAGAACAGTGCCACTGTTTACCAGCTCTTGTATTGAAACTTGCAAGCCACGGTCCTGCTGGTGAAGACCCAAAGAAGACCAGCGTGCTCGGAGGGTGACCTCGGGGTGCCAGGCAACTCTAACACCTCCCACAGCTCCACCTTCTCCTCCCTGGCCGGTCATCTGTCCATTCCCCTCCCACCCAGCACATACCTGGCCTGTTCTCCAGGTTTTTATTATGTAACTTAGGGATTTTTTCCTTTGTTATTTTTTCTACCACTGATTTCTTTATTTTGTAATTGATAAAATGGAAAAGCAAAAACCAAAATGGCTTGGATACCCAGTCAGTTCTTTCAAACAACAAACTCATCGTGATGGGTTGCTTATGCCCCCTTTCAGCAAATTCCAGGTTGGGGAAGGAATTTTAGGCCAGACTTAGTTTCGTTTATAACTTTTCTGGAATTCTTGGACTCTTAAGAAAGCTCAAGAAGCAACGTATGTCCCTGTACAAACTTTCAGATTGTATCAGCGTGTTGGTAGACCAACAACACCCAACTCTTGACGCAGGTTAAGACTCCAGTCACTGGTCTAACCATATCCCAGGAAGAGCTGTCCTTTTAACTACCTACTTCGTGAAACCTCGCTTTATCTGAGGCTTTCAAAGTCCCGATCCTAATTCTGGCATTTTGTGCCGGTCAAAAGATGCCTGTCTCTGTTTCCGGGCAACTTCCTCACGTTGGTGGGTGTGATATTTTGTCTGGCCTTTGCCAGGCTGAAAAAGCCCCAGCTCCCTGAACCAAGCCATATAGGCCTGCTTTCTGGTCTTTTCCATCCTCCCGCCTCTTTGTTTTGTCTTGGCATAGCTGAGACAGCTAGCTGTCCACTAACGTTTGTGGCTTAGAGTTCACCGGAAGAGGCACAAAGCCAGGGACAAAATGTACCATCTTTTGCATTGAGATATTATTGGGTCCTAGTTCTTGCTGATGGATCATGAATGAAGAATGTGTCTCCTTTCTGGGCCAATGCTAAAGGAGTGGGGTGTCCCCTCCAGGCTCTCTGTCCCCCTCGACCAGCTCCAGGCAAGCGATGTGAAGGCCCGAGGGGATTGCAAAACAATGAGATGGAAGCATCCCGTGTCCACAAATCACATGTGGAGAAAAGCTTCCCCCTTTGGGTTATTTCATGGGAGAGAAACTTGTATTCGAATTGTTATACATGTTGGAGCCTATTTGTTACTATAGCCCTGGAAATAGCAAACTTTTACTTAAAGGGCCAGATAGTAAATATTTTAGGCTTTGCCCTGTGGTCTTCGTCCCAATTACTCAACTCTGCTGCTGTAGCATGAAAGCTGCTATAGGCAACAGATAAGTGAATGCAACTGTGTGCCAATAAAACTTTATTTATGAAAGCAAGCAGTGGGCCAGATTTGGTCTGCTGACTGTAGTTTGCTGACTCCTGTAGCCAGCGTGTCTCTAAATAATATATTTATTTAGCATCCATTGAAAAATATAATACAGACGGTAGAGTCCAACAGTAGGTCTATCCTACTGGGCTATAGTAACAAATAGACTCCCAGTGTCTCTATAACAAGTGTCCATCGATGGATGAATGGATAAACAAAATGTGATATTGTTATATATATAAAATATATATAATGGAATATTATTCAGCCTTTGAAAGGAAGGAAATTCTGACACTTGCTACAACATGGATGAAATTTGAAGACATGCTAAGTGAAATAAGTCAGACACAAAAGGACAATACCGTATGGTTCCACTCATATGAGGTACTTAAGAGAGGTCATACACAGAGACAGGCAGTAGAATGGTGGTTACAAGGAGCTGAGGGGAAATGGAAGATTAATGGGTACAGAGTCTTAGTTTTGCAAGATGAACAAAGTTCTGGAGATGGATGGTGGTGACGGTTGCACAACAGTGTGGATGTGCTTAATGTCACTGACCTGTATACTTTAAAATGGTTAAGATGATAAATTTTATGTTACGTGTATTTTACACACTTTTTTTTTTAAATGTAGGGAATTATAAAGATCAAATTCACAATGGTGGTAAACTATGGAGACAGAGGTAGAGAAATTGGATCATAAAAGGATATAAAGGGAGCTTCAACTCTATCTGCAATGTTTATTTCTTCAAAAATAAGGTTTGTCAAAAATGAGTGCTTCGGGGCCTTCCCTGGTGGCGCAGTGGTTGAGAGTCCGCCTGCCGATGCAGGGGACACGGGTTCGTGCCCCGGTCCGGGAGAATCCCATATGCCGTGGAGCGGCTAGGCCCGTGAGCCATGGCCGCTGAGCCTGTGCTCCGCAACGGGAGAGGCCACAGCAGTGAGAGGCTCGCGTACCGCAAAAAATAAAAAATATAAAAAATGAATACTTCGAAAGAAACCATCAACAAAGTGAAAAGAAAGCCCACAGAAGGGGAGAAAACATTTGCAAAAATATTTCTGGTAAGGGGTTTATATCCAAAAGGTGTAAAGAAGTCTTACAACTCAACAATAAAAGACAAGTAAACCAATTTTTAAAAGGGCAGAAGATTTGAATAGACATTTCTATAAAGAAGGTATACAGGGCTTCCCTGGTGGCGCAGTGGTTGAGAGTCCGCCTGCCAATGCAGGGCACACGGGTTCGTGCCCCGGTCCGGGAAGATCCCACATGCTGCGGAGCGGCTGGGCCCGTGAGCCATGGCCGCTGAGCCTGCGCGTCCGGAGCCTGTGCTCCACAACGGGAGAGGCCACAACAGTGAGAGGCCCGCGTACCGCGAAAAAAAAAGAAGGTATGCAAATGGCAATAAGCACAGGAAAGGATGTTCAACATCATGAGGGAAATGCAAACCAAACCCTCAGTGAGATGTCACTTCACATGTGCTAGGATGGCCAGAATAAAAAGGACAGACAATAACAAGTGTTGCTGAGGACATGGAGAAATTGGAACCCCCATACCTTGCTGGTGGGATTGTAAAACACATCGCAGCCACTTTGAAAAACAGTTTGGTAGCTTTTCAAAGTGCTAAACATAGAGTTACCATGTGACCCAGCAATTCGATTCCTAGATATATACCCAAGAGAATTGGAAACAAATGTAAGTTGGGAGGGTAATAACTGGAAATGATAAAGTAAAACAACTGTAAATTTTTTTTTTCTGGAAAGGAGGTAAAACTCCAAATTACTAGTAGTCTTGATAAATCAAGGAGTAGTGTTGTAATTTCAAGATTAATTACTAAAAGAATATGAAACAAAGGTACAGCTTCCAAACTAATAGAGGAAAAATACTGGAATAATAGAGTATAATAATATAAGTTTAATAAATTTTATTATTTATATTTATAATTGACATACTTTTATTATTAACTCATTATTAATAGTATATTGTTTAATTTGATATTAATCTAGTATAAATAAAATTATATAATAACAAAGAAACACAAAACCTGACCAAATACTGAGCCATAAATTTCAGAGTATTTAATTTTTACAGAATATATTCTACGACCATAATGCAATTAAGATAGAAATAAATAATAAAAAGAAAACTAGAAATTTCCCTATTTTGGAAATTAAGAAATATATTTCTAAATAATTAGTAGAGGCTAAATCACAAAGTAACTGGAAGCTATTGTAAACTGAATAATCATAAACTGAAGGATTCAGCTAAAGCTATAGTTAGAGCTTGGCCATTCCCGGCTCATCAATGTCGCCCCACCTTGCTTTCCGGGGCCACGTA